TAGTTATATTTGTTTTAAAGTTTATTTATTTTGGTAACGTAGTACTAACATTTCTTAATTTAACCACCAATGCCCCCACTCGGGACAAATTCAACCACCAACATATAAATGTTGAAATATGTGTTCTGAAAACCATGAACAACAAATATTTCTTAGTTATTTTTAACCGCAACGTTAGGGACTTCAGGCTTGTCGATGCACATTTCATCATAATTTAAATATCATAAGTTGTGTTATAGTAAACATAAAAAAAATTGACATTATAAAAGTGTATTGATCAAGATCTCACATGGCTATCTTTTTTTCTAACTTATAAATCACATAAAATGGTCAAAGGACAATGTGTAGATAGCCTGAAATTTCAATGTTAAGAAACAAAATACGAAGGAAGTACCAATGTTATGGCATTATTTGAAAACAAACGAAATATATAATAGCTAAATCAAATCACATAAAAGTCAAATGTACAAATTATATACTTCGATGAATTTAAGACAACTTTTCACACGATTGCAATAACTATTTTTGAAATTTTACCCATTGTGTACCCGATATACTAAACTTGCATAATGGTGCCTAATGGCAACAACTTACTTGAATAATTTTTCTTAACCTTTAGTTAAATCAAATCACATAAAAGTCAAATGTACAAATTATATACTTTGATGAATTTGAGACAACTTTTCACACGATTGCAATAACTATGTTTGACATTTTACCCATTGTGTACCTGATATACTAAACTTGCATAATGGTGCCTAATGGCAACAACTTACTTGAATAATTTTTCTTAACCTTTAGAGTGATTGGATTGAAAGAAATGGAAGGAAAGGAAGGGAAGGAAAATTGAGAAATAGAGTGTTTTTCATTTGGATACCAAATGAATAATGAAGGGAATTAAAAGGAGAAAATAAAAGGATTGCATTGTAAAAAATTGATCTCTCTAACAATGGAGAGATTTGAAAAGAAAATTCATTATTGTTCCCTCTCCTCCCCTCCCCTCCCCTCCTTTTTCTGTTTCTTCTCTTCCCCTTCCTCCCCTTCTTTACATTCCTTCTTTATGCCCAAAAAAGTGTCATTGTCTACTACCCTCTATGAAACTTAAACCAAACCCCTTTCAAGCTTTCAAGATAGTTAAACTTGGTATTATATCCCCAAAGCGCACGGATGCTTGAAAACCTCTAAAGCAAAATTTCTCATCTGAAGTAGAAGCCCTTATAAAACTTTTGGTGATCATAGTTCTAGAGGTAACACTATAGATTGCACTCTTACATCATATACCCACTATATCCGTGATTGAAAATGAAAAGGTGGCTCATCTGATCCATATGTGTTATCCTTTGCCTTAGTGGCTCTTTCTAATTGCAAAATTTTGGATTTGTCAAGGATAGTCTTGTTTTTTTCAATTTTTTGAGAAAACTTGAGACAAATACAAACTTCAAGAAGACTAAACCCCCCTTCCAATGGCCAATACCATATGCTCCTTATGACTCATAAATCATTATTCAATTCAATGCTTAGAGGTTCTCTCATGAATTGCTCAGTAGCATATTCCAGACCATGGTAAAGAATATCCTCCACCGTGACATAGTGTTCAACATATATAGCACTTCTTGCCTTGGGTGCCTAGCTTGCTTGGATCGGACCTCTAGACAAAGGTATGGAAAGCTTTGCCAATTACCTTAAACAAAAAAATAATAATAAAATAATAAAATATAAATTCTAATTGAAAATAAGTAGTGTCCCAAATAATATTTCGCTTAACAAGTCTTAGCTGCTGCCTAGTGCCTACTGGAGCCTTTCATTGGGGACTTTTAAAGCATTGATTTCAATCTAGTAATCATCATTTCTGGTCAAGGTGACAATCCCGACCCCTGGGATAACATGTAATCTAATCATACTCCGTTGAAAATAATTCAGAAACCAAATAGGACTCGCATCTAATCATCACAAGAGATATAAACTAACAGAACTTACATCAATCAAATAGTTAAAAAATAAAAAGGCAGCCAATGTAAACTTACAAAAAAGCAAGGTAGGACAAAATTCACTAAGCACTTTGTTTTGCTTAGCAAAAGGAAGAGTATTGATTCATAGTGTCTAAGTAAAGTATTAGAGACATTGCATTACACTGCTACACTCACCACCCTCCAAGACCGTCTCTGACTCTAGTTGCTATTACCTTTTTCAAGCTCTTGCATGCTCATACCGTCATACGTGACTGGACAGAATGAACAAGCATAGCTTATACTGATCAGAATAAATTAATCACACATAGCCTGTACTGATCATGTGTGTGAAATACTGAATTTTTCATGCAAGGAGATCCCAACCAAGATATTGGGAAATATGATGCGATTTCAGTAAATAGAGTATGTTATCCCAAAGATTGAAGACAATGAATAACTTGTTTCACAAAGGTTCAAGTAAGGACTAAAATGGAAAAGGACATTCTCATCCATTTTTGCACTATAAAATGTTCAAAAGAAGATAGGTGTGAGCATCAAAGAAGAATTCACATCAGTATAACAACTTATGAGACAACTCTTTGGTCTAGTAATTTTAAACCAAGGCACTGTTCAGTGTTCACTTTACCATATTTAAAGAACATTCATTAAAATGATTTTAGTTTAGTAAAAATCATTTCATTTCAGCAAAAATAAGTTTAAGTTAATAAAAATAAGTCAAAGAGCATACATAATAAAGAACTAGTCCTCTATTTTTCTAAATGTCAAGTATCCACATTAGAAATTTGAAGAATATAGTCCTCACTTCTATATTCTCCCAATTGTTTAGGGAGGCACAATTTTCTTCCTAGGGCAAAATTTCTTGTCTCCATTTTGTTCTTTTTTTAAAAATATATATATATATTCTTCCTCCATAGGTTGAGCATGGATTCACCTTTTAAGAACACCAGCTGGAATTTTAATTCACACATGACAACCTGGGGTCTTCGACCCCCCACTTCTTAGTCTTCCTTCAAAGGGTATCCCAAGTAGCTATCAAAGAACATGAGGGTTGTCTTTAGACAAGCAAGGCAGTGGACCAACAACGTGTGCTAGGAAGGTCCGTTTTACCACTTCGATTGAGATAGAGGCATACTCATTAGATTGACTATCTAGTGGCTGGTGGTATGACATGCTATTATGCCATGGTCAGCAGATTAAAGCACCAATTAAAAATCTGCTTGTTTTAGAAAGATTCTTGATCTATTATCTTATAGTCCTTTTGATCTGACTTCTAGTACAGTTTTGTGGAAAAGAAACAAGCTCTATCCTACTTTGTGGACAAAAAGGACGATTTAGATAGTATGTGGGCTTGTAAGACGAAAAATTATATGCCAAGGGATTCCCTTTCAGTACATTCTTCAATGCACCTTGTGAGCTTTGTTCATCAGAATCTACTCCTCCTCATTTATCACTTCTAGGAAATATCCCCTTTTTTACATTTCTCACCTAGGAACACTGTAAAAAAAAGGAATTTATTTATCCTTTCACAAATAAATTCAGGATAGTACCTTTAGAGCATGGAAATTCATAATCCCCTAGAGATCAGCAGCTAATCTTTCATATCTACCTCGCTAACACCACCATAAACATATATATCTCTTTTCTTCTTATAACGCTAAGTACATCCTAAAAACAATATTGTTTTATACTAAAATAGTACCATAAACACGGTCAATTGCTAGGCTGATGCTAACATAAAAGTAGCATTAGTAGCAAGTCTAGCAACTAGCAACAACAGGTTAAACACAATAACCAAATGATATGAGATGTTTTCTTAATCTAATGTTGCAACAATGTAATTTGTACTTTTGTAGTAGTCCATCTACTTGTGAGTTGTGATAATGTGGATGTAATATTATCACCATGTAATAATTTTTGTATGTAATGGGAGTAAACACTTACTTCAGTGAAAATTCCACTGCAACTATTGCTCTCATGCTATATCTTATGTATGTAAAACTTTTTAACAATGAAATTTGTTCATACCAGTAAACTTTTGATTCATAGGGTAAATAAGTGTTGCATAGACTTTTTGAACTTGAGAAAAAATGATCAATAACTTTATTTGCAATTTCGCTCTCTTTTAAACCTTACTTTGCAACCAGAAACATGAATTTTCCAAAAATCCACACTTAAACCATTGGTGGATATTATATCAAAGAAATTTTGGGGGGCTGTTTTGTAGGAAATAAAAAAATCAAATGGACTGGTTCTCTTAGATTTTTAGTAGAAGGCGTTCCGAATTGAAGGAAATATAGGATTTAAGAGCTATACTGTCATTCATAAAATACTTGAAGAATGTACTTCATAATTTCGTATATTGTATGGTACATATATGGAGTACATGTTATTATCAACATTTGCCGGTGCCTAGATAGTGAGGAATAGCTCAAGTGGTTAGAGCTTTCAACTCGGTTTCAAGTGATCGATTCTCACCCCGCCTTTGTGGCTCTCTAAACACCAAAAAAAAAAACATTTGCCGGTGCCTATAAATTTGCTTCAGTTTTGTGATCATTTCGGTTTAATAAATTTAAATATTGTTGCATAAACTACTCCCAAGTCTCAGAAAACTAACACTAAGCTGTTCATGAAATCATATTATTATTAAATCTCCAGTTGTAGCAAGTTTCAACCAGTTGAAACCACTAATTTTCTGCAATAGACCTCATAATAATATTTTTCTTAAGAAAAATCAAACTGAAATTAAAAACCCTAGATAGCCCCCACCATTAACTACATCTATAAAATCAGATAATAAATCACAGTGCAATTACACACCTTAGTACCACAACTTTCCATGTATATCACATGGTATACTTTTCAAGATTTCATTAGCCTTTCTCATTTTTCATGATTATTATTGTTATCATTCTTTCATTTCAACTAATTACGCAACAGCCACAGCATTCAATTGAATATTAAAAACACGAACACGAATAAATACACTCATACATACAAAATTTAACAACAATAAGTGAGGATTAGAGTCACCTTGAGTTGGAGTATTCAAAGAGTTTGCCAGTGGAAGAGAAAACAATAAGGCCAATTTCAGCATCACAAAGAGTAGAAAGTTCTTCAGCTTTCTTAATTAATCCTCTTCGTCGCTTCGAAAATGTTACTTGTCTCGCAGTTACATTATCAATCTTCTTGATCTGGATTCTTTGTCTCACCATTTCCCTCTACTACCACTGCTGCTTCCCAAATAATAAATTAAAACAAATAAATTATTATCAACCTTATAAACTTTATACAGTAGAATAAACAAAAATAATCGCTCCAAATTTTTAAAAACCTTATTATTAATTACATGATATTCAAGTCAAAAATCAAGTAGATCTTTCAAATGTTGATGATAAAGCTTAAAGCCAAGTTTATAAATAAATAAATGGTACTCCGTATTTACTATACTATAGTAGTAGTAATAATTGACAACTGTTTTTATGGAAATTGATTGTGAACAAAAATTCCAAATTACTAATTTAAGCAAAAACAAGCTAATCAAATTAGTAAATTGATTACCAAAAAAAGAAGAAAGAGACCGGAAAATAAAAATAAAAAATAAAAAAGGACCAACCCTAGAAGGAAAGAAAGAGGGAATATCAAAATTAGTGAGAAAAATAAAAATTAAGAGAGAGAAAAAAAAAAAAAAGAGGTTTACCGATTGGAGACGGAGACTGAATGAGTAGGATTCCCACTATCCTAAGTGGGCGCCATAAGAGGAAAATAATGTGGAAGAATGTGATGGTATTAGAAATCACAAACACCATAGACAAAGCCTCCAATGGTAGGAAGAGAGAGAAGCAATGAAATTTAACAATAAGGAAAAAGGGTGGGTGCCCACTTTGAGATAAATGAGATTCCAAATATAGCCCAATCCAACCCAACTTGCTGGTTGTTTTTCGAGTTATTGTACTAACCAAAGTGGAAACTATTTTTTTTCTAGTAACTTTATTATTTTGGTATTTTAGGTGTACTTTATTTTGTACAGTATCATTTGATTTAATACTTATTTAAAATGTACTTTATGTTGTACCAGTATAATTTTAAATGTAATTTTAAATATACTTGTTTAATAAAATTACTGTATTTTAAATGTATCTTTCTCCCACTCTAAAGTGTCTGATTCATTAACCCGGGGACTTGTAAAAGGTTAAGGTTCGATAAGAAGTCTTCTTCTTACCTATCAAGTTAAAATGTTGCGAAATATTACAAGGAGAAGGTCTAACCAAATCAGAATCTTAAACAAGTTAACTCGATCCAATTGATTTCAATAGAGCATCGTAGCATACATGACCATATATAATCCCTTATTTTCAAAATAAGTACCTTGCTTTTACTTTTATATATCTTATTTAAATGTACCACTTTAGGGCTTGTTCAAAAAAATACAAGGCATGTGCAAAATTTATAGGTAATTTAGAAACTAAATTGAATAAAGTCATAAAAATAAGGTTATAATGATATTTACATACTATTCTAAACATGAACAACATTTTAAATTTTCAAAATTGAAAAACAAGAAATATATGTATTATGGGACGAATGGAGTATACGGAAGTAAACAAGATCATACGCGGAACCCAAAATTGATCACCCAAATTTTGGCGCACGATAGGGTGCAACCTCCCTAGATTTCAAGAAATATATAAATACAGTAAATACACAGTTAAGAGTTTAAGACTAAAGTAATGGTATTATAAAAGTAAAAAAAAATGGTACAAAATTGAGCAGACAAGTTATGGCCTGAGGGGTCCTTGTATTAATGTAAAAGTGTACCCTCGTACCCGTCAATCGTCATGTCATTTCTTTCTCTGCCACTTTACTACGCCTTTTTCTTTCCATTTTTATACTGTGTAATTAATCTGTTACTAATACAGTCTTAACCAGAAACTTAGGTGTATCATCATCTCCTTCTCTTGACTCGTCTCTCTCTATTGTACTATATTCATTTTATCCACATTTCTTGTTCCTTTTTGGTACCTTGTTATTAAAGATATTTCAAATAAAGAAGATTTGAATTCAGAATAATATTTTGCTAGTACATGAAATCTAAGCAATAGTAATTTTAAATATGTATAGTTTTTTAAATAGTTATTTACATAGGCTAAGGTTACCGTGTATTGTAAGGGTTTGGCTCTCTAGATAAGGATAACGTAGCATTTTTTCGCCCGTTAGTGCTTTGTTAGAATAAAACAAAGATGAATTATTATATGTGGTCCTCTTTCTATGTATGAGTGTTTTTTCTAATATTTTTCATTGTGTTGTCCTTTCAAAGAGGTCGCATTTTATAAAAAAAATCAAATGGGTATATATTCTTGAATGATGTCAATGTACCAATTATATAATTTGGGTTTTTTACAGCCAATTATGTCATCATCTTAATAATAAAAATTATGAAAATTATAATCAATTTTGTCCTCGACTTAATAATAAAAATTAAGAAGACAATTTTAGAGTATATCTAGTGGTGACTTCTATACAAGTTTTATTTTCAAAATCTTTAAATGCTCATGTTTTACATAAGTCGAAAGTACTCTCTTTTTTGTACATATTACTTGTATTTCTTAACAAAGTTTGAGCTTACCATTAAAAGACAACTAAAAGGTGGGCATAAGGGCATTAATTCCTAATATTACCAACATGAACAAATGTAAACCACAAGTATAATCTGCACGAGGAGAAAAAAGGATTGGTGCAATAAAGTTGACATACTGATGTAATTTCTATATTTATTATGCACCTGATATTTTGAGGATTATTTACATTTGTGCATTTATAATACCCCATTAAGAGATGAGTGGATCCAAAAATGTTGTTTGCAAGTCAGACAAATCCCTTCTACCAGACAATATGTTAAGCTTCTCCAATTTCACACTGACCGTTTAAGGATCTATGACATTAAACTATGGGATGTGGAAAAGAGGAACATATTGACGATTAATAAGGTATTTTTTTTATAAAAAAAAAAAGAAAAAAAAAAAAGGTTAAAGACTTTGGTCCACTACTTTGTAGTCAGAAGAATCTCACATTTGAATACTAGCCATATCAATTTGAAGGTGTGCTTGTTTTAACTTATTTTAAATTACTAGTCTCTCTGTACCTTAATTGAGTTCTTATTTTTAGCATTTATTCCTCACGTGATAAAAAGAAATAGGAATCTAATTAGGGGTGGAAGGAGTAGTATTTTGCTCCATACTGTATCTCATTATTATTCTAGCAAATATAAACACGAAATCACAAGTAATGTTAAGTGTTTATAACTTGTACCGTTCAATTAAATTGGTCAATATAGTATGAAATATAAATAAAACATGTAGTATTGAAAATATTATAAATTATAATCAATACATATTTCAAAATACAGGAGTAGTTCTTAAGTATATTATTTGAACTCTGTGGCTACTTGGTTATATCCTAGGATATATGAACGCTTCATCCAACTGTTGTGTCCGTATCGGATACCGGCATTTATGGGACACACGACGATATGTCTCGGACTGTATCCTACTATGATATGGAATGTTCAACTCTTTTTTAATGAGGAAATTTAAGTAAAGTAAGATAAATAAGGTAATCGTTAAATAATATGGGTGTCTTAACTCATTGTTAATATGATACAATATGATCTAATGAGAGGACCTAATGACCAATATATGGTCAAATTCTATATTTTTAAATATATTATATAAATTTTAACATTCCTTATCCGTGTCCTTTTTGAGATAGACTTTTTTCTTGTATCCGTATTTGTGTCAGTATCCGTTCTTGCAACATAGGTTATATCTTGTCAATGGCACCACAACATTAAGGACTAGGACCCATTCTAAGCAGGCCAGCACAAGTTGCTAGCTCATGGAGTCATGGGCCCTTATATTTCCCCCCCCCCCCCCCCCCCCCCTAGAAAACATTACTATGACCCATTACTTGCTTAGCACATGGTTTTTTTTTTTTTTAAAAAAAAAAAACTCTATTTATAATTTCGCATAATCATCCTTTGAGTATATTTTCACAACTCAAGTGCAACCAAAAAGAAAAAAAAGAAAAAAGGTCACTTTCTTAATAAATGTACTAATTCTTAAAAATATAAATTAAAGGATATGGCCGTTATGGGGCAATAACGTAATATGATACTTAGGAGTTAGGAAGTACTTGCCTTTCATATTAAAACAATAGGACAAATAAAAATTAGAGTCCTATCAAATACTACTCCACCTAATCATATTTCTAGTTATTTATGATCGACGGAGAAATGAATACAAGTTTTATTCTCTGTATAACCTAGAAAAACAAACATCTGTTATATACATTCTCTCATAGTACAAGGATGGTAAGCTAGTAACAATCTTGTGAAAAAAGGAAGTATAAGTGACATTAGAGGATAAAATTATTTGAGGATAAATTAGGGATACAAATATAGTAAAAGTGACAAATTTTAAGTCGGATCATCGCTCTTAAAAAAACCTTTTAAGAAAATTAAGAACATCAATTTGAAACAATAACAATACTCGTATTACTTGGTACATGCTTATGTCGTTGGTGCCCTTGGGCCTTGGTGGATTAGAATTGGATCAAAATGATCTTTCTATCATTGGAAAACACAAGGAATTACTAATTAGGATGCTTTTAAACCAAACAAGGTTGACATTGACGAATTTTCGTTAATTATACAATTCTCAATTTTTGTTAACCATAATCACATCAAATCCTCAAATCTCAATATCACTCACTAATCCTCTCCGTTTATGTTACATGAAATTCACTAGTACAAAACTATAAACTTTTGAATTCCTTGTGTTTGGGTACTAAAATGGTCATACCCATTTTAGTCTAGGGTAATTCTATCCTTATAAGCCCAAAGGGCGTAAAAAGGCCTTAGAGGCTCTAATTCAGCCAAATGCACTAATATGGCCCATAATTGCCCATAACTACATATACCCCTCAAGTGGCCAAAGGTAAAGAGGTCACTCTTATCATCTAAGATGACCATACTCCTCCACTCTCTCTCCTAAACTCCTCTCAAGCATTGTTTGGCTACTAACTTGGGCGTCAGAGGCTCTGCCCCGGGGCTCGGGGTTCATATTGCAGGTCCATTCAAGGCCCAAATCCGAGGTTCTCAGGCACCCCTTCTAGGCCCGATTAGCTCATATTTTACCGAAACACCTTGTAAGCTGTAAAATTAAAATTTTCTTGTCACATGAAACTCACGATAAATATGTGGGTGAATTACGAGTTAAATCAAAATACACTCTCATATTTCAAGCTTCACACTAGTTAAGTAGTTATGTTCCATACTCTATAAATTCCTTATTTGTTGAAGCTACCATATAAGTGTTTTTTTTTTATTGATTTATTTTTAACGATAACCAAAAAATACAAATTCTTATATGTGACTGGCCACACTGTGTAGCTGAACTGTTGAAGTTACTTTGTTACTAGTGTTTTAGGGTCTGTTCACATTTACTTAATTTCAGTTTATTTCAGCTTCAATTAGTTCAGTTCAGCTCTAATCAGTTCAGTTCCTAATTTTCCTCTCTTATAAAATATTCATTTCAGCTCAGTTCAGTTCAGTTCAGCTCCAATTAGTTCAGTTTAGTTCAGCCCCAATTAGTTCAATTTAGTTCAGCCCCAATTAGTTCAGCTCAATTCAATAAATGTGAACATACCCTTAGGGCTACCTAATCAGTATTTAGGGGTCACTTTTTTTTTTTTGACAGACACTTTGTTAATAGTAGTATATTATAGTATTACTTTATTGATATTATAGGAGCTACTTAATAAATGTTATACGTGATTTAAGGATTAATTTGTTGTTGTACGTGTAATCGGTCGCATTGTTGCACACAAGACGCACCACCGTAACAAACACATCAACATATCATTAGAACAGAGAATAAGGGAAAATAAAAAGGAGGGGAAGAGTGCAGGCAGCAGAAAGAAATGGGGAGCAAGAAGAGGAAACGCGGCGGCGGCAGCAGCGGCGGCGGTGGTGGTGGCGAGAGGCGAAGCATTCATCCTCGTAACAGATACGCTGATAATCCTCCTGATTTCTCTCTCCTCGCTTCTCTTTATCCCTCGTTTTCTTCCTTCGTTTTCTACTCTCGTGACGGTCGACCCAGAATTGATTGGACTGATTTCAATGCAACTCGTGAACTCACCCGCGTCCTCCTTCTCCATGACCACTCTCTCAATTGGTACTTTCTTTATTTCATCTCCTTATTCTTCATTATGTAGACTTTCATATATGTAATTTGTTTCTGGGTTTTTCTTCAAGTGCTTGAATTTTATTACCTTGCCTTGTGAATTTGGTTTCTGGGTTGTTGTGATTATCTTACAAATTGCTTAAATTTGTCATGTTTGATTGAATTACTGTGTGCCTTGATTTGATTTGGGATAAATGATGGTATTTTAGGTGGATTCCTGATGGGCAGTTGTGCCCAACTGTTCCCAATAGGTCAAATTACATACATTGGATTGAGGATCTTTTAGCATCTGATGTTATTGAGAAAAACAATGTTGATGGAGCTAAAGTAAGAGGCTTTGATATTGGAACTGGGGCAAATTGTATTTACCCTCTTCTTGGTGCATCTCTTTTAGGTTGGAGTTTCGTTGGCTCAGGTAGTCTTTTTAGTATCCAGCAATCAACCTGTTTAAGTCTTTTCTTGTTGAAATATTAGTATGCATATGTCTAATTTGAACTTTACTGTATTCGAGTGTAGATGTAACTGATGTAGCCTTAGAGTGGGCGGAGAAAAATGTTAAAAGTAATCCACATATATCGGAACTGATTGAAATTAGAAGGGTTGAGGTTGCTGGACGTGCCAATGATTGTGAAACCTTACATTTAGATGGTAATAAGACAAGTGGTGATTGCCAAGAGAAGGAAGATGTTAATGGTTTGACCAAACATGAAACGAGAGATCTTGATGAACCTGCTGTTACTGATCCTGAGGGAGTATTGGATATCGTGCACTCAGTAAATGGCGAAGAAGTGGAAGGTTTGGATGAAAGGAGGGATGATGAAGCTCAGGCTCAGTCCTTGAGTCCTCCTGATGAACCCAAAATAGACAAAGGTTATCATGGGCCACCTATCCTTCTTGGTGTAGTTAAAGAAGGAGAAAAATTTGATTTCTGTATGTGCAATCCTCCATTCTTTGAAAGCATGGAGGAAGCAGGACTGAATCCAAAAACTTCGTGTGGTGGGACGCCAAAAGAGATGGTCTGCCCTGGCGGAGAGGGGGCTTTTATCAGTCGCATTATTGAAGATAGTGTCGCGCTAAAGCAGTCATTTCGGTACAGAAATTTTTCCATGGGTCATGATTAATGTTTTCAGATGGTGATTTTGTGAATGTTGTCTGATCCACATTTGCTTGCAGGTGGTACACTTCAATGCTTGGGAAAAAGTCAAACCTTAAGTTTCTGATGTCAAAGCTCCGGGAAGTAGGAGTCACCATTGTGAAAACTACTGAATTTGTCCAGGGTCAGACTTCTCGATGGGGACTTGCTTGGTCTTTCATGCCTCCAGCCAAAATTTTGGTTTCCTCTCATGTGAGGGGTAATAGTAGTCCTTCCTTCATGCTCGAGGTATGCCTCATGACTCTGTTGTTTGGTCTTTGAAAGTTTTTGAGTAATAAGTATAGGAGTTGTACATTTTTACCCATTAAAATCATTCTATTTTTTATTAAATTGCTAGCAGATATTGGAAGGTAATTTTCTACATGACCTCACTTAAGGAAGCAAACAAATACTCCCTTTCATTATTCAATGATTCTTATTAGCTTCGGTATCAAGATGTCTGGTTGGTTTGGGTGATTAGAATATCTAAGCTACTTATGAAACCCAAGATTTATGGATTGTTTACATCTTTCTAAGGGATCATTGTTTATTTATTTATTTACCTAACCTACTCTGTTTAAATAGGAATATTATTAATGATGTTCTTCCTATTCAATGGTTATGGTTTGCACATGTCTATTATCATCTTCGGAAGTTCAGATGTACTCTTTCACCATGTCTGAATCTTCTCTTCTTTACTTCCAATTTTCCAAACACTCTATTTATTTTGGTTAAGTACTATGGTAAATGAATTCTTTCTTACTGGAACTCAAATGAGTGTTAAACTTCAGATAAAAGGATTTTTAATCAGGAATGCATCTCAGTAGCTTACAATTTACATTATATCTGCTTATGTTTTATGGTTGCCATATGGAAATACACTATAATCTCAGATTATTTATTTATTTATTTATTTTTGGGTGGTGTGATGTTAGGCTATTCTATTATGTAATTTATTTTAAGCAGTGTATTCTATATTCTTTGGACATTGGTAGGAAATTAGGAAGTAACTTTTTTTTGGTGTCACACCCATTTTCCCCCCAGGAAGCTGGTTGTTCCCTTTTCATAAGGTGTTTTGGTACTGCCAGTCTACACATCTGATTTAGAGTTTTCTGGAATTTTCAGGGTCTCCAGCATCAAACCAGTGCCTTTGATGTTTTGCAGTCTGTGGAATCCTTTTTCAGCTACTTTGGTGTATCCTGCAAATGCAATGATTCATCATTTACTGTTGAAGTGAGTTTATGCATTACCTTTGTGTCTATTTACTTTTTTCCATTGTGTCAATGTCAAACTGCACTTTAATGTTGACACTTCTCTATGCTTAGGTAAGTGCAACAAATGATCATTGTGACACTATATTGAAGACTGATGTCAAAAATCTTGACGAGGCTTCTACTTGCTTGCGTGTGGCTGAAATATCGAGGAGTGCAAATTGTTCAAATAGTCCAGTAAACTTATCTTTTCGCGTCTTGGTATGACTTGAACTTCATAAATGCTTATGGATTACTCAGAACTGACACTTATAATATACAAGTAATTTATTTTATTGTCACAAGGTCTTCCAGCAGATCCCTGGTACACTCCTGGTGAAAGCATCATTAAAGCCGGGAGATAATACACTCGCAGGTAGTAGCTTCCTTGTTCATCTTTTTTAGATCACTCCCTATTAAAATTCTTCCTTGAGAACTTGCTTTTCAGTTTTTTTGTAAATTTTTTGTTTTTCTATGTTTTGCTTATTAAGCAACTTTCCTCATTTTAGGTCTTTCATTTTCAAAGATTTCTATCTTAATTTTGAAACTGTACATATGAGTTTTGTGATGTGATCAATCGTTGATAATGGCTCTCTCACCACTTGTACTGTTGTACATATGTTGTGAGTCTTGTGACCCTTAACACTTTTCTTCTCATTCTACCTTGAGAGTAAAATTTTCAAAATTCCATTTATTTATAAAGAATGGTGCATATTTTATCATTTTGTACAGAAACTGGTGTTCCCTCTGAATTCCTCTAACGTGTATTGTCAAGTAATGAAGAGTTCAGAGACTGGATGATGTTACACGTGTGACTCATTTCATACAAAGTCATAAATTGAGGGAATACCAATGATTTATGTATACCTTTATATGAATGTACAATTGTACATTAACATGTTCATGGCATAGCATCCCCGATCACCACTAGCAACAAGAAAGCTTGAGCCTTTTGTGTGTAACCTATTCCTGTGTCGGTAACAAGTTTTGAGGATTCGTGAAGAAATTACATACATGCTTGTGAATATAAATTTGTGGGAAGTAATGAAGTATAGATATTCACTTGGGACATTCTTTGTGAGATTGCACTTAGATATGCCTACTCATGCTTTTGCTTCATATTGTTTTTGTTGCAGGAATATTTACATCTGTGTTTCAACAATTGGAAGAATTTTTGAAACACAAATTTTGCAGGAAGAAGGCTCGTGTCTAACCCTTTGCATTGAGGATGATGTCAGTTATGGCCTATGGTTAGTGTTAAAACATACATGGAAGTGCAAAGCCATGCTCTTTTATTTTGTTGCCTATTAGGTAATGTATTATTCTACGTAAATGATTGGCCATTGTGTAGTTATATTTTTTTCTCCCTTTTCTAGTATGTTGCAGTTGACTGGTTATAAATAAACCTTTACAGAGCATCAGGGAGGTATATTATGTCCATGTTCGAACATATGCTCAAACCTCGAGCCGGTGGCGACCTTCGGAAATTGGAACAGCTTATGAAGCTATGACCCTAATTACGTTACTTGGGGTATGAAGAGTTTCCTTTGCTCTTTGGTAATTGTTGTTTTCTGCTTGATGGAATATGGTTGTTATTTTTAGATTCATAGGAGAGGTGAAAAAAGAGATTAGAAAGTTCTATTCTACGTACATGATTCCTGTTTTATTTTCAATTTGGGTAAATTATTTCCCCTTTGTTGTAAGCTTGTAACCTTGTATGTTACTGGAATTTAGTGGATTTTGGTCCATACCTTGGAATTTAGGGACTCTATCTCTACCCTTTTAAAAACCAGAAGTTGTGTTACTATTTGAAATCTATAGTGTTCTTCTGTTTATACCCTCAAGCTATTTTTTATTTTCGAAATTGCCCTCCATGCTTGATTTCAGCACTTTGTCTTCTTGGTTTCATTTAGTCCTGCTTTTTCCCCTTTTCATGCTCCACCATTAAATTCTTTCATCTACTTTCTCTCTCCTTTGAACCAGTCTTTCTCACTATCACTCCATCTCTCCTTTCTCACTTTATTTTCTCTCTCTTCACTCGCCATTCTGCACCCATCTCTCCTCCATTTTTTTCAGAATCTGTAGAGACTCTAAATTTCTAATATTATGAAATCTTTCATCATATTAGGGTAGTTTCTTCCTAAATTCCTACTTGCATTACTTCCTAAATTCCTAAATTAAGTTTAACACTGTAAGAATTGAAAGAGTGTGATGAAGAGGCTATTGGAATTTGGGAAGAAAGCAATGTTCTATGTTAGGATTCTTTCTGGTTACGAAGAGCGTCGGATTTGATCTTACATATTGCAGCTTGAGCAGCGTCTTCGATCTGTACTTTCTCTCCTCCCCTTTTTATTTTTCTTTGTCAATTTCAATTGTTGATTCTAATTTAGGGTTTTTGTTGACATTTGGTATGATTTCTATATTAGAGTATTTTGGTTTCGCAATTTTTATGAAAGAGTTTAATTGGGTGTTGTAATGTGAAATTCAGGAGCTAAATATCTAAATTAGACTATTAATGATGATGTTTGTTACCCTATTTTGGGTTCTTTGTGAATCATTTGGGAAATTCTTTGTTGTGCCCGAATGAATGTATTGTGTTAGAAGGTTTTGTTGGGGGGATTAGGATTGTGGGATACTAATATGCCAGATTCAAAGGTGTTCCTGTAGGAATGACAACCATTATGCTGTAATAATTTGTCAATCGTCCGAATGTTGAGAGCACTAGATATACTCTACCTCAGGTCCTCAGCTGTAATGTGTTGGAATTAGTCGAATTGTCTTTATGATAAGTTCTTATGGAGTTGTGAATTTAAACATCATGTGACCTGTGTATAGCTTTTGCTGTTATGATAATTTATGGAATCACTCTGCTTCGAAATGTATACATTTGGTGTAGTTTGGTGAATGTTTTCCATCTGCCCCGAAGTTAGTTGCCTAATGCTTACACGCTTTTAGCGTTCATGTACTATTTTTGCATGCTTGATGTGAGGCTGAGTGAAAGGGTACCTTGAATTCGTTTATCAAGGGAGCATAAGATAAGATTTTGATGTTATCATTTTTTTGATTTATGAGTTTGGAAATTGAATTATCCTAAGGAAAAGTTTTATACGTCATAGAATAATCAAGTGATGAGGGTGAAGAAAACAAGTGTTGAGATGTGAGGATGTGTCACATTGGCTGTGTGTGAGAGTAAAAGAAGCCATCCATGGAATATGATATAGATGACTGTTTAAGACCCTAGATACACATAGAAGAACATGTGGGGAATGGAGCCACGGGGTTGGGCTGTTGGGGTCTAGGGAAGGAGTGTTCACATTCTTTCACAGTGAGAGCTCTTCAGTTTAGCTTTACGTATAATAGATGATGGGGCAGATACTTAGAGAATATTGTAATGTCACAATTCCCATGTTTGAATGAAGAACACAAACTCTTAGCCCATTTTCCTACCCAGCCTTTCTGTTGTACTGCTGCATTTGCGAATTAATATTGCTTTAAGTTAGAACCCAAGGCTGTTTTTCTCACCGATCAAATGTTATATTATTTGTTTCTTTTCATTTGGAGACGACTGATTACATCAGTAAGGATGATATGGATGTTATACCAAATTGATTGATTTTAAGGAATATGTCAGGAGAAATGAGTTGGGGCCTACATTTAATCTTTCTGATCTTTATATTGATTAGTGAAATTGACATTTTCTTCCATGTGTGTTCTCTATTCAGGCACAAGCAAAAAAAAAGAGGCCTCAAGAAAGATCCCTGAACAAATTATGCTGTCTGAAATTCGAAAAATGGTGGAAGAAATGCAAAATGTAAATAAGAGGTTGGAAGAGATGGTGAGTTTGTTTACTGGTTAATTATGCAAGTAACTCTTATGATTGGACTGCAAGGGATCTTTTACTTGTTGCACGTAATTATGTTGATGTCTTGTTGACAGTAGAAAGTTATGTTTTGACTCTCTCTTTAAGTACTGAAATTTGCATCTTGCAAGTTGTACAGTGTTGAGACGAAAATTCTACAGGGTACCTTTGTCTGAATTCTAAATTTCTTTGAAATTGACGCTCACATTTATCTTCTTGAGATTTTCAGAAAAATTGTCTCATTTATACAAAGTACTCCATATGTGCTTATGCTTAAGCATTTACCCAATTTGAAGAAAGGCTATCTTATTAAAATCATTGTGAATCCCTAACTATAGTGGGGTTTGCACAATGTGACTATTAATCTTGGTTCAGTTATTTATAAATTTATATAATATTTATGTTGCTGGCATGACATCATAAATTTGCAGGTTATGCTTAATTTGACTACTAGGGAATCATATATGTATACCTTGTACTATTGTTGTTAATTTTGCACTTTGCATTCGGGTTTGACCTTTAGTGAATTCAGGGCTTTTGACAACTTCATTAGTTTTTATGTGCAGAAAGGTGATATTAACGAGTATTTCAAGCCAGTTGACAAGGAAGTGGGAGTTCTTATGGATATGCAGATGGAGAAAGACAAAGAAAAGATGGAAATGATGGGTTCCATGTATAAACAAGCTCTGATTGAGAAAGCTGAAACACAGGCAGCTGGAGATGTAAACAGTGCTAACCAAGCGAATATGGAAACAATGAGTGCCATGTTCAAACAGGCTCTGCTTGAGAAAGCTGAAGCAGAGGTGGCCGCTGAAATGAAGAAGTCACAAAAAGAACAAAATCTTCCTCTCTCTAAACATGGTTAGACTAGATAATTATAAGAATTTTAGACAAAACATTCTATGCGATGAATAATTATGAAATGCTATGCTTGTCATCTGTATTACTAGGGACAGGTATAAATGTACTTTCGTATCTTTCAAATTATGTAATAGCCTGTTAATTTTCAACCTTATATCTCAATAAAGTCGATTAGAGTGACTGATACTCATCCCTTATAATTTGGTTTCTCCATTGTAGACATTGCTTTGTGGACTGATTGGACTCCCTCCATCAAACGGCGTCCTTCCACAATCGCCAATGCATACCAAGAGCCTTGCTACTCTCAAGAAGCATGTAAGTGTGTTCCTGTGGAAATGAATTTGTTAATTAGTTAATTCGTTGACCAGTTAATTCGCTGACCTTAAATAATATCCACTGTTTACAGTTGATTGGGAAGAAGATGGTAGAGTCTGCAAAACAAAATATAAAGAATAATGCTAGCAGTACTGAAATATATGGCCAGATGCAAGATATTTTCATTGAAATGGATCAAAGTGCTGATGTAAGTTTTCAAGATAGATACTAGAGATAATTTATCTTTAAAATATTGGATAATCTTGGATGATAATTTTTTATTTTATTTTTTCAGCCTCATCAAGTTGCCAAAGAGCTTAGTGAGCTGAAACAGGCAGTCATGAAGGGAGACAAAAAAGAAGGCAAGGACAACAGTACAGCCAGTACTTTTAGACTTGATCAAATCGATGCTTATTTGCCAGTTAGAGTCAACGAGCAGAGAGTTAGTAACCTCTTACAGTCGGTCCTTGTAGCAGGAGCTGTATTTGCTATGCCCGTGATCAAGTTGATACCTACCTCGGTTCTTTGATGTTCAAAACCTGAAATACATTCAAGTGGTCTAATTCAATTGATGGTTTTATATTGTATTTACAGTATAAATATGTTTATTAGGCTTTTAGATTTTGTTTTTTGGGTGTTTGAATTCTGTGCTTGGTAAGGGAATAATATAGTGATAGGACTGCACATATTTAATTAATCATATTTTTAGTATTTCAGCTCTATAAGAGCATTACCCCCTTAGTCTCTAGCTGAAAAAGTATTTTTATAATTATCTTAGTTTAATTTGTCCCAATTAAAGTAAGCTTTATTAATTGACATCTTGTTGGGTTTAGCTTAATGGTTGTGCATAAGCTGTCGGAATCAAGAAGGGAGTTATGGACAAATTAGTTAATTAGTTGAGTGTAATATGCATTAGTAGTTGTTTTAGGCATTGTCATGATAGCTATGGCCAATTAAAAGGGTCTTGCCACACTAATTGACTACTTAGTAAATTTTTTGAAAAAATGGAAATCTGAACATAAAACAGATGATTTCTATGGTGCTCTCTCTTCTATGCATATCTAATCCAATTAGAGCTAATGTCATGGAAACCTTGACCTGTCCTCTTATTTTTCTTATTACTTGGCTTAGTGTTTCCTTTGGGAGGCTTGTCAAGATTTGACTTTAATTATATTGATGGTAGCTGCTGTGGAATCTTCGACACTCGGTATTACATCAGAGGTGAGCCTGAGGCCTTTACATTTTGTCAGTTTATTGTTAATCAATTAGAGTTTAGGAAAAGGAGTATTAATCTATATGGTATTATATTTTTCCACACCTTGACTACAAATGCTTTAAGGTAATATTGGGGTTATGAACCCCAAAAGCTATATTTTTAAATTAGCGTGCCTATTTTTTTTAAAATTTATTTTCCATTTAGGCTTCCTGCAGTGTTTCTTTTAAGTGATCAGGCTAAACTTTGTAATTGACAATTTTTTTAAAAAATTTTTTTGACAATTTTTTTAAATTTTTTTACATGATATCAAAGAAGCCCTAAATCAGCTTCGTGGTGAGATTGTTGACGCTTAGCGTCTTTTGCCTGCTATGGACCTTTTTATGAAGCACGAGTACCTTCCTGAAGATCTTCAGGTTCTCTTTATCTTGCTTGTTTAATAATCTGGTTTGTATTAATTTTCTTCTTTTTTTTTTCTCTCATTTCCTGATAATTTATCTGGGTTTTCTTAATTTTTCCATCAATTTTCGAGGTTTTCTTAATTTTCTTAATTTACCAAGGTTTCCTTAATTTTCCATCAAATTTCTGTTAGTGTTGGTATGATAGGTATGAATGTTTTGGGTTTTGTCAATTTCTCATTACTATATTTGTGGTTTAATTCATCGTCTTCCCTTTAAATTGGTTGATTTTTGTGTTTTCTTTTTGCTTGAAATGCAGTTTTTTTCCCCTTAAAATATGGTGGATAATGCATGTACTGAGCACCCATTATTTGGTGGGGCAATATCAATGACCTTTCCTGATAGATTCCAGGTTTTACATGCCAAATTTCCCAATTTCTTGCTTTTTATTTGTGGGAAATTAACAATATTTTGGATTTTTGTTTTATGTGCAATTTTGAATTATATTTATAGGATTTGAGCAATGTACGGGAAGTGCAGCTTAATTTTAATATTCTTTACTGAGACTTTGTGATTTACATTTGCAGGCAGAGCAAATGGATGTTTTCATATCCGACTTGGCTAGAGTACATAGTGGAGAAGTCACACTTGTTCAAGAGTGTGGTGATTTATTGTCTAGGACACATTTGTCACAGGTAATTTTACAGTACTGCTATTTCAATTACCAAATACTTAATCTGTCCTGAATCTCCTGATATATCTGTGGTTTGTTTACTCAGTTCTGTGAAAATATAACCTCTTTACAAATGTGGCCTATCGTTTTAAGGTCATAGGTTATTGTCTGTCCTATTTTTCGTTAGTTTATAGATTAACTAAGATAGATGGTGCTACAACTTAGACCTGACGATATGCTCCTGTTATTCACGTAACTTTCAGATAGAAGAGTGCAGTTTAAGAGGACAACTTATTCAATTCCAGAAATGCAATCTAACAGGATCCAAAGAAAATCAAATTCTAACAGGATCGTGTTAGTTCACACACCATACTTAATTGTCAATTTGAACAGTTGATCGTCTGATGGTGATAAGCACGTAACTCAAGTTCAAGAGGTCAACAGTTCAGACTCACCCACCTTCTGTATGTAATCATTCATCCTCATTCTTTTGCTACGTCCAGCCAACAGAGAATTTTTTGGAAGGTCTGTTGATATAGAGAGAAATCGAGTAACTTGGTACACATAATTTGGCAAATTTTAAGGTTGTTTTAGCTGTATTAGATTGATTTGTGGACAACGTAAAGCTAAATTCAGCATAGAGATAAAACTAATAGTTGCTCATTTTTTGTCTAAGCACCTGAAATCATATTTCTTCTCAGAGTTTATATGTTTTGTAGCTTTTTTATGTTTTGAAGCTATACAATTAGTTGCTCATTTTTTGTCTAAGCATGAATTCTATAGATCATTGTTGCTGTCCTGGTTATATAAAAGGCTGAAGTAGTTGGCTTGCCACACTCCTCATTTAACAATCATAACTTTCAGCTCTAGGGAATTAGTGCATGGATTGTTCATATATGACCAGAACTTTAATTAGGTTCTTCATGCAGTGAACCTAAAGCATAATTGTTAGACCACTATTATAGGTGCTCTCTGTGTGGATCATTCTTTTTTCCTAAATAGTATCTCCTTTAGTGCTATTCCTTAGCTCAGCACCTTTACTCAACATATCTCCTTTAGTGCTATTCCTAAAATAGGTGTAAGACGAAAATATCGGCAACAACTCCGCCGTTAAACCAGACCTGAATCCAGGTATATTTTCTTCTTTTTTCGAACTTTTTAAATGTGGGTTTGGAGTTTGATTTGGTGAATTCTGGTTACAATCAGTTCGATCTGAGGCAAGGGAGGGAGAGAGAGAGAGATGGGGGAGAGGGAGAGAGGGAGGGAGGAAGGCAGGGAGAGAACGAGCGAGAGGGAGGGAGGAAGGGATTGAGAGTTCAAACCCTTTTTAATCAGAAAATGTATGTTCAGTTTCAGTAAACCCCACTCCCCATTGTTAATGAGATCAATAACCATCACAGGCATATAATCAGTTTGTTGAACGGATGATTTGATGTGATACCCTGGTAGCATTGAATACCACGGGTCTTTTGCTCACATCAATGTAATGACCCTTACCCACTTAATTATGGCTTTGTTAATTGTGTCAGAGCACTAAAATTAATAATTGTGGTTTAATTTTTTAACTGCCATTTTTTTAGTGAAGAACTGAAGGTTACCATCTTTTTTTTTTCCCCTTTTTGTTACAATATATAACTAAGATATGTCAAGAAAAATTAAGGTGAAAAGATCGAATCTTTAATCTTTCCTTTATGATTTGGTGCAAACAATATTTTATTACTTTCACACCTGTCAATGTTTGGAAATATGCTAATTCTATTTATTCACAACAATTGACCGTGCAGCACAGCCAGCTCTAGACCGGGGTATCAGAAAACGAATTGCAGTAGAGGCAGTTAGGGGACTACTGTACCTTTATGAGTAATGTGATTCTGAGATGATACACAGGGATGTTAAGGCAGCTAAAATCCTGCTACACGATTGTTGTGAGGCCATTGTTAGATATTTTGGTTTGGCAAAGCTATTGGATCACCAGGTTTCACACGTCACTACAGCTGTTCAGGGCACCATGGGTCATATAGCTCCAGAATACCTCTCTATTGGAAATTTTTCAGGAAAAAAAAATGTCTTTAGATTCGGAATTCTGGTCCTAGAGTTTATAGCTGGTTAGAGGGCACTATATTTTGGAAAAGCAGCAAACCAGAAAAGAGTTATGTTAGAATGAAAGAAAATTTAACACAAGAAAAATAGTATAGTATGTTTTTTCAAAATTGATTTTCCTCTAAATTTTGGTTGTATTTGTAGGT